AGCAGTTCAAGCAATCAAAGCAGCAAGGTATCCCAATAGCAGTTCACTTCTTGTTGTTCTCTCCTAGGGAGTGGTCCCGGCACATGATCAGACTGGGGCGGTCACGTGTTATTTCTCAGTACTATCCGGCAGACCCAGCTGCATAACATATTCTGCGTTAATCAACAGCTTTCATGGTCCTGAATTTGCGTCGTAAATTTGCTGAATGACATGTCCCCACCTTTGGTTTCAAGGGTCAAAAGCTTTCTCCAAAAATCTTCCAGAGGCCTCACTCAAGGCTGCTTACTCTGTTTGCTTGAGGCTCGGAGAACCTACTGATTGATACAAAGTGCAAGCTGCTTGTCATTGGATAACGTGTGCATAGGCACAGGCATCCAGGACCAGGAGTGCCAGAACTCTGAGCTGTTGACATCCCTGCTACCTCCAACTCACCCTTGTGACCTGCTCTGTGCATCAGAGCAGTGTGCATTGAAAAAATGAATAGTATCCAAAAGACATCAGAAGACCGGACGGTCCGTGACAGTGCTACATTCCTCTCACCTGACGCTGCAGCAACGCATTCGGCCAACCGTCTCAAAGGTGCTGGAACCTGACAAACGCTGCACAGTGATACACACATGTGTTGTTCTATTGTGCCGGATCTCTATCTCTAAACAGGACCCCACAGCCCAAGTTGTCCAAGCAGCTGTTCATGCTTTGATTTGCGACTCAGCCCCTGGCCACGCTGCTTTGCACACTACCTGCACTTTCCCAGGGTCCTCAAACAACAAAAGAAAAAACACCACTGAAAGAAAATGAAAAACTATCAAGAAGTTGACAAACCCAATGTTTCCATCTGTTTTGCTTGCCGCTCTCTGACTGTATGTATATTTGATTTCAGAGCTGCATCTAGCAAATGCAAGATTTAAACGCAGAAGTGCTCCCGTCAGGGTGCCAATTTGTGCTGACATGGGCCCTTGCAGAGCATGAATCCCACAAAGGGATGACAGGTTGATAATTCACAAATGCAATGGTTGCGCAGCCTTTCAGCAGCAGGAACCCAAACACACAAACAGCCAAAGCAGCAGCCGGATTAAAGCAAATTATATAGTCAAACAGGAACATGCTAAGCGTAGCAAGCACAAGTGCACTTCCTCGTTTTACGTGTTACGCTCGTACTTCCCATTGGACTTGATAAGTACCCTGTGATTTTCGAACATGCAGAAATGTTCTGTAGTCGTCACCAGACATCATGGGAAAACGGCGTGGGAGATTGGCTGCACAAAGTCCATAAGTCTCCACGGTGCTTTACAATTGACTGTCGTGGGCACGGAATTTCGGACTTGCCAACAAAAATGGATGCGAGCCCGGACAAATGCTAGACTCTAGACACAGTCGGCATGACGGCGCAGGGCACTGCGTGAGCTGCTTGTTTCCTAAAAACAAAACACACTTTTTGTTTGCTTATGGGGAAACAATTGTATAGTAATCCGCCGACCCTGGCCTAGCCGATGCCTAGGCGGGGCGGCGCCCGGGAAAGCGCAGCGAGAAGCCATGGCCAAGGACCTGTGCTACTATGCGGACTTGCACTGGCCAGCGCCAGGGCAGCAGGCGGCTCTGTGGCCATTTCGTGGGCTGCGGCACGTCTGCACCCGCCCTAGCCGTGCTGCTGCTACTATAGCTCCTACGGCCCTGTCTGGGAGTGGCCATGCTGCCAGTGGCCATGCTGCCGTCTGGTGGCCATCACCATGTTTGAAATGGTGGAAAAGCGTGGCGGAGCAGATTGCCGGGAGGGGGTCAGGCAACTAGTTGTATGGGCTCCCGAAGGCGACGTGCCAGGCAACGTGCCAGGCAGCGTTAGGCATTTTGGCTGGCTGCGACGCGCCTCTTTTTTGGTGTGGAAATAGATAGTGTCGTTTGCTAGGCTAGAAACCCCGCACTGCGACACCAAGGACCTGTGCTACTATGCGGACTTGCACTGGCCAACGCCAGCCCGCTTTGTGGCAGTCTACAGGGCAGCACGCTGCACCCGCCCTAGCCGTGCTGCTGCTAGCTCCTACGGCCTTGTCTGGGAGTGGCCATGCTGCCTTGTCTGGGGGTGGTCATGCTGCCGTCTGGTGGCCATCACCATGGTGGAAAAGCGTGGCGGAGCAGATTGCCGGGAGCCTTGGGAGTCAGGCAACTAGTTTTATGGGCTCCCGAGCCAGGCAACGTGCCAGGCAACGTTAGGCATTTTGGCTGGCTGCGGCGCGCCCCTTTTTGGTGTGGAAATAGATGGTGTCGTTTGCTAGGCTTGAAACCCCGCGCTGCGACACCAAGGACCTGTGCTACTATGCGGACTTGTCTATGGCACCATTTCAAAGTCTATGGCGCCATTTCAAAGTCTCAAAGTCCACATCCCCCAAAAAGCGGTTGTGGTATACAATCGTGTAGCCGATCGACCGAACAGAATTATCTGACATGCCTTTTCATGTCAGGGCAATTGACTTACCGGCCTCATTTTGTTACCAGAAACACATTTGAGCAATATCATAATCTCATACCTTAGTCAGTACGTATCCAATTCTTTCATGACCACCCAGCTGGATTCCTAGTTCGGGCAGCTTTCCAGCGCCTCAAGTCGTTTGCATCTCAAAATAAAAGAGAGCGGGGGACTGTGAGAGTGCAGTTGGTTTATTGTTTCTTTCTTTTTAAGTGTTTGGTATCATTTGATGCTCAAGATATGCAAAGATGCTTGTGTTCACTCTAGGGCAGAAGATACCACTCTACTCTAACATGGGGCCTAGGTTTTTGTGTTCCCGACATTTTAGGTAAATGCTTCAGTGGTAGCCCCTCTCCATATAAACACATATATATATAATCTATTCCTGCTCTCTCTATATGAACAAATATATTATTTATTCCTGAATCAGGGTCATTTTCATTTTATTGTTTTGGAAGCAGCAAGCAGTCATTCGGATGGTTTTGAACAAAATAATTGGGAAAGAAGCAGGCCACAAAAGTGTCTCTAGATCTCTGCTTATAATTATGTTTAGATTTGGAAAGATTTTATATAGACGCTTTTATGTTACAAAAGATTCTCTATAGATCTCTGCAGATAATCATTTTTAGATTTAAACAACTATATAGAAACCGTGTATGTTAAAAGCTTTATTCTAGATTTCTGCGGGTAGGGGCTTGCATTTTCAAAGTTTTCCTTTGGATCTCTGGGAAAGTAGATATCCCATATATGTGTGTTTTTTATGAAATGAAAGCTCTTGAAAGAAAACATATGTATTGATATATAGCATGTTTAAATTTACATGATGACCATTTCCAGAGATCCAAGGGAAAGCTTTTGAAATGAAAGCGTTTATATATTTTTATTGTAGAAATGATCATCCCCAGAGATCTAGAGGGAAGCTCTTGAGTTAGAAGCTTGTACATAAAACAGTTTTAATATGTCTATATTACTTCCAGTGATTACTGTTGAATAAACAATATTTAACTATATACTTCAAAAATGAGCTTTAGTCTTGTTCCCAGCACTCCCAGGGCAAAAAATACTGTAAAACACGGGGTTTTGTAGCATGTGTTTTCTTAAACTACATAGACTAGAGCTAGCATAGAATTAGATAGAGTTAAATTGGATTTGAGTTAGAGCTAAGATAGAACTGAATTAAAACCGAATTTCAAGTAAACTTGTACTGAACTATAACTATAACCTATTTAAACTTAGATGAGAGTTGAACTAGAAAGGAATTGGAATTAAAATTAGAAGTTCGCCAGAATAAGATGTAAAACGCTTGAGCTACAAGATGCACAAATCGAGGAGGCTTCGAAATTACAAAGCCGAAGCAAATGCAACAAGCATTGAATTGGAACTACAGCTTACACAGATTCATAACAATTTCATGTAAATTGGAAGGTATCAGTACAGTTTCATGTCAAGCTGATTGGACATGCAATTGGCAACCACATTGATACCAATCAGAAGTTAATGCACAGACTTGTACATGGAGACTTCGACAAGGACAAAGGGAGTGGTGGGCTCAGACGCTTTCATTGCAAGAGCAAGGAACATATGCCTTTAGGTGAGACTTAGGCTCACATACTTGAAGGTTAAACGAAATAGTAAGAACACAGATTGACTGAAATAGGAAAACCAAAAAATCAAAAAACCTTGAGAAAACCAATAACAACCTAGTGAACGGAGAATTTAGGCTCTTAAACTCTGCGACCCCAAGTCACTGTCCCAAAGGTTGTAATAGAAGCTTAGGCACACTTTTAGCTCCACTCCAAGCGTAGCTCTGGTAGTGAAATGAACACAAAAGTAAACCACAACTTGAACAAACGGCTGCAGTGAAACATACATCTATACAAGCTATGTCATGTACATGTAACTGGTGCTACATCTGATCACGCCTCCCGAGTTTAACTTCTGGGAGATGTTAACCGAGTCAGGATTAGCACTTTTAGTGAATTAGCCCATAGCCCTTCAGTACATCTTGGTCTTGTAGAAGTACCTACTTTAGCTCAAGCCGTTCACGCTTTCAAAGTCAGTTCATGCTCACCTTCCAGGTAGTGGAAGTTCATGCCTTTCATAGCTGTAGTCATTTTCTCTTCGGTGACAGCTTTCGTTAGCACGTCGGCCAACATTCGGTCGGTGCCTTCTTTCTTGAGACGAAACTCTTTCTTTGCTGTACGCTCTTGTACCCAGTGGTACTGAGTGTCAACATGTTTAGCTCGTCCCAAGCCTCGACGGTTTCCCATGGCGATGCCAGCGGAAGCGTCCATTGTCACCTCTTTGCTGGGAAACAATCCCCAGTCTCTTGCTGTTGATGCGATTCCAAGCATTTGACATGCTCCGGAAACAAGTCCGTAGTACTCGGATTCGCCACTGCTCAGGGAGACAACTCCTTGGCCTTTGCTGTACGTTGTGAGACAGCATTTGTTGGCCATGAGCACGCCTCCTGACACACTCTTTCGTGTCCTTATGCAACCTGCATGGTCGGCGTCTGACCACATGTTGAAGGGGTTGCAGGTGCTTTGGTTTGGAAACAACTGCGCAACTCTTGGTCGATACCTGACATATCGAGCCAATCGTTTCAGCATATTCCAGTGCCTCGATGTTGGGTTCTGTAGACCTTGTGCCAATGAGCGCGTTGCAGTTTGCAGATCAGGTCGATCCTGTGCCAAATACGCGGCTCTCATAGCAATAGATCTATACATCGTTGCATCTTCGGCACTCAGCGGAACTTCTTCGTGTTGGAGTTCCTCTTGACTTGGCTTGGCCAAAGGGGTCTTGACCTTGCCTGGTTGACCAGTGCCTAACCACTTGATGATCAACTCTGCATGTCTTGGATCTGGTTCCCACCAAATGCCTTCATTTGACCAGGTGATGATGCGATTCAGCACTCTGATCTGTTGGCTTGCCTTTGGTGAACCTGGTGGACCGAGAATGCCTCGTTCCACAACTTGCCATTCTTTGGCTGCTGAAGTGTGAAACCATTTGATGTCATCAAAACTTCCAACTGTCGTGAAATCGTCTCCATGCACTTCTGTTCGAAGTTCTCTGGATGCATGGTAGTAGATGCATGGGTTGGACTTGCCTTGAACAAATCCTAGCTTCTTCATAAACTCTGCAATGGTCAGCTCCCAATTCATGGGCGCGTCTCTGGTGCCGTATAGGCTTCTGACCAATCTTCCTACCACATCTCCATCTTCAGGTCTCTTGCCTTCTGATGGAATTTCAACATAGAGTTCTCTTGTTGCTTTGGAGTAGAAATGAGCTCTCTTC